ATTTTCCCCCATGTTTTCCCCAAAAATCACTTTTCCCCCCCATTTTTTCACCAAATATCCCATTTCCCCCCTTGTTTTCCCCAAAAATGACATTTCTCCCCATTTATTCCAAAAAATTGCCATTTCCCCCATTTTTTCCCCAAAATTGCCATTGCCCTCCATTTTTTCACCAAAATACCATTTCCCACATTTTTTCCCCAAAAATCACATTGTTCCCCCATTTTTTCCCTGAAATTAGCCTTTCTTCAAGTTTTCCTCAAAAATCCGATTTCCCCCCAGGTTTTTTCAAAAAAATTCCTTTTTTCTCCCATTTCCCCCCCTTTTTTCCCCAAAATTGCCATTTTCCCCACTTTTTTCCCCAAAATCCGATTTTCCCCTCATGTTTCTTCCAAAAATCCCTTTTTCCACATTTGTCCACAAAATTGCCATTTCCCCCATATTTTCCTATAAATTCTCATTTTCCCCCCATGTTTTCACCAAAAAATCCCATTTCCCCCATTTTCCCCCAAAAAATCCGATTTTCCCCACATTTTTCCCTAAAAATCCCATTTTGCTATCATGTTGCTTCCAAAAAATCCCATTTTTCCCCCATTACCCCCCCAAAAATCCCATTTTTCGCCCCATTTCCCCCCAAAAATCCCAATATCCCCCATTTTTTCACCAAAAATTCCATTTCCCCCCATTTTTCCCCCAAAATCCCATTTTCCCCGTTTTTCCCAAAATTGCCATTTCCCCGCATGTTTTCCCCAAAATCCCATTTTCCCCCAATGTTTTCCTCAAAAATCCCATTTCCCCAAATTTTTCCCCAAAAATCTCATTTTTCCCCTTGTTTTTCCCAAAAATACCATTTTCCTCCATGTTTTTTCTAAAAAGCCCATTTCCCCCCATTTTTTCCTCAAAAATCCCTTTTTTTCCCCATGTTTGTCCCAGAAATCGCATTTTCCCTCCATTCTTTCCCCAAAATTGCCATTTCCCTCATTTTCCCCCAAAAATCACACTTCATCCGCCATGTTTTCCTCATAAATCCCATTTTTCCCCAATGTGTTTTCCAAAAAACCCATTCCCCCCCATTTTTTTATTAAAATCCCATTTCCCCCAATTTTTTTCACCAAAAATCCCATTTTCCCCCTTGTTTTCCCCAAAATTCACGTTTTCCCCATTTATTCAAAAAATCCCATTTTCTCCCATTTTTTCCCCAAAATCACCATTTCCCAGATTTTTTCCCCAAAAATCCCAATTTTCCTCTTGTTTTTCCCAAAAATCCATTCTCCCCCATTTTTTCCCCAAAGTCCCATTTTCCCCATTTTTTTCCAAAAACCCATTTTCCCCCATGTTTTCTTCAAAAATCCCATTTCCCCCATTTTCCCCCAAAAAAACTGATTTTCCCCCATTTTTCCCTAAAAATCCCATTTTACCATCATGTTGCTTCCAAAAATCCCATTTTCCCCCATTTCTCCCCCCAAAATCCCATTTTTCTCCCATGTTTTCCCAAAAATTGCCATTTCACCCACTTTTATTCCCAAAAATCCCATTTCTCCCCATGTTGTTCCCAAAAATCGCATTTTCCCTCATTTTATCCCCAAAAATCCCATTTTCCCCCCAATATTTCCCCAAAAATCCCATTTCCCCTCAGTTTTTTTCCCAAAATCCCATTTCCCCCCATGTTTTCCCCAAAAATCACATTTTCCCCCCATTTTTTCCCAAAATTTGCCATTTTCCCCATTTTTCCCAAAAATCCCACTTTCCCCTGATATTGTCCCCAAAAATTCCATTTTCCCCCATTTTTTTTCCAAAAATGCCATTTCCCCCATATTTTACCCAAAGTCCCATTTCCCCCCTTGTTTTCCCCAAAAATTCCATTTCCCCCACTTTTTCCTCAAAAATTGCCTTTTCTCCCCATGTTTTCCCCC